TCAGGGAGTCAGGGGGATGGGGGGTGGGGTGGGGGGTGGAGGGGAGCAAGGCAGTGAGGGGGGCAGGGCTCCAGGAGTGACTACCGGCAGGTACAAGAGCTAGCACTGCACCCGAGGTTGGCTAACCTGCTCGTGTTACCTAATAGGTCATGGCCCTTATTCCCCAAGTCCGGCCGTCCGTAGAGAGTGATTCTCTGAGTGTTGTCCAGCCAACAGCACCCCGTGCCGGGGGACTTGTTAGAAACGTCACTTCACAGGCCCCTCCCAGATCTACTCCATCAGCAGCTAAGCGCTCAGAACTTTTAAAAGTGCTTGGATTGATTTTAGAGAGAGAGGACAGGAGTGGCGAGAGGAAGAGAGAAACATTGATGTGAGATCAAAACAGCAATCTGCTGCCTCCTGCACACCCCACCCCTCACCCCCCGCACCAGGGATCAAGCCTGCAACCCGGGCATGTGCCCCGACCGGGAATCGAACCGGCAACTTTCTGGTGCATGGGACCATGCTCAACCACTTGAGCCACACCGGCCGGGCTATTTAAACATCTTGCTTCTTTTGAGCGCTCTGACCATTTTACATTTCACATCAGGTTGTTGATATGTCTGGAATGTGTCTATAATAATAAAAATGTAATATGCTAATTAGACTGGACGACCTTCCGATGAAGCCGAGGCTTTGAGGGAAGCCCGGGTCCCGGTGCCAGAGGGAACCTGGTGCAGGCAGCCGGGGGAAGGAAGGCCTACTCTTGCACGAATTTCGTGCATCGGGCCTCTAGTTTTAGTATAAAGAGTGAAATTGGGATTTGGTGCTTATATCCCCTCCCCCCCCCCGGCCCAATGGTGGGAGAAACAGTCTCCAATGCCATCAACTAAAGCATGTGAGGATTTTTTTAATAAAGACTAGTTTTATGCAGGGTCTTTGGGAACCTTTGTGAGTGTTATTTTATGTTCATTGGATTGGTCTCTTACGGAAAGCGTTTGGGGTTGGTCTGTTTCGGCTGGTTTGCTCTTGTAAAGTCTTGGGGAAATGTGCCATCATGGTCTGGCCGGTGTTTGGTAGCGTTTCTGGTAATGACTCTTCCTGTCTGTAGGGCCACGAAGATGTTTGCTTTGCATCATATTCTACTAGAGGCCTCGTGCATTTGTGCACCAGTGGGGTCCCTCGGCCTGGCCTGCGGGATCGGGCTGAAATCAGCTCTCCGACATCCCCCAAGGGGTTCCGGATTGCAAGAGGGAGCAGGCCAGGCCGAGGGACCCCACCAGTGCACGATCGGGGCCGGGGAGGGACTGTGGGAGGGCTCCAGGGCATGTCCGGCCCATCTCACTCAGTCCCAATGGGCTGGACCCCAACAGCAAGCTAACCTACCGGTGGAACTGTCAGCCCCTGGTGGTCAGTGCACGTCATAGCAAGCAGTTGAGTGGCCTTAGTATATCATTAGCATATTATGCTTTGATTGGTTGAACGGACGACCAGACAACTGGCCACTTAGCATATTAGGCTTTTATTATAGAGGATCTGGGAAAGACTGATAGAAGGTCTATGGCAGCGGTTCTCAACCTGTGGGTCGCGACCCCTTTGGGGGTCGAACGACCCTTTCACAGGGGTCACCTAAGACCATCAGAAAACACATATATAATTACATATTGTTTTTGTGATGAATCCCTATGCTTTCATGATGCTCAATTTGTAACAATGAAATTGGGGGTCACCACAACATGAAGAACTGTATGAAAGGGTCGCAGCATCAGGAAGGTTGAGAACCACTGGTCTATGGGAAGGGTACCATCCTAGCTGTCCCTATCCTCCTCCCCACAGGATCCCTCTTCGCCGAGTCTACGCCGGGAGCAGGACCCCGAACCCACTGAGGGGATGGGGGAGCCCAGAAGAGCCCCTCGGGCTGGGGGCCCCATCCCCGGGGGGCAAGTCCGCCTTTGTGCCTCTCTCCAATTACATGAACGTGAGTGTCAGCCCCCCACGGCCCCGCTCTCCGGCCCTCAAGTCAAGTTCCTCACTCGCCCTCCTCCTTTTCCTTGTTTTGCCCTCAGGCCCAGTATTATGGGAACATTGGGCTGGGGACGCCCCCCCAGAACTTCTCTGTCGTCTTTGACACTGGCTCCTCCAACCTCTGGGTCCCGTCCAGGAGATGCAGCTTCTTCAGTCTGCCCTGCTGTGAGCTTTCGTGGGGGCGGAGAATAAGGATGAGTGGGGTTCAAGGGAGAAGGGGGCTAGGCCTTAGCTTCCCAAGGGATTTGGGGGCACCCTTCTCTTCTGACACGCCCTTGCAAGGGAGACTCTGCTCCCCCAGTGACAGACCCCTGACTTTCTGACCTAGGGTTCCACCACCGCTTCGACCCCAAAGCCTCCAGCACCTTCAAGCCCAACGGGACCAAGTTCGCCATTCAGTATGGCTCTGGGCAGCTAAGCGGCATCCTGAGTGAGGACAAGCTGACCGTGAGTGACCTTGACCCCAGGAAGGCTTGAAGCTGGGAGAACCCCAATGTCTAAGATGGTCTGGCTTAGGGAGGGGCTTGAAGAGGGTGGGAGGGAGTGAAGCTCCCCAGGCCGCTGGAGTTGTTTCCCGACATTCCCCGGATTCAGCCCAATTTGGGGACCCCTCGGGAATATAAGGGAAATGTCCCCGCAGAAATAACTCGCCCCATTTGACTCTTCCCCCTAGATTGGGGGGATCATGAATGCATCCGTGGTTTTCGGGGAGGCGCTGTGGGAGCCCAGCCTGGTCTTCGTGTTTGCCCACTTTGATGGGATATTGGGCCTCGGTTTTCCCGTTCTGGCCGTGGGAGGGGTTCGGCCACCACTGGACACACTGGTGGACCAAGGTCTGCTGGACAAGCCTGTCTTCTCCTTCTACCTCAACAGGTAATGTGGGCGGGTCTACCTTCCCTTGAGGCCTGGCCCGCCTTCAGGAAGTCCCACCCTTCGTTCAGGAAATCACTGAGCTCCTCTCTGTTTAGGTTTAGGACGTCATCCACCCAGCACAGCAAGTTCACATAACCCATATAAGAAACACCTGATGCCCTAGCCCAGTGGTTCTGAACCTTCCTAACGCTGCGACCCTTTCATACAGTTCCTCATGTTGTGGTGACCCCCAATTTCATTGTTACAAATTGAACAT